GGCAATGCAATCCAAGATGACCAAATGGTGGCCATTTTAATGAGAACAAATTTGGCATTTTTGTCATTCCAGATCTTGGAATTCGGTAATATATGAATAGCTATTCCCAAATTTTGTACATATACTATACATTGAACAAAATGGGATCTTGATGCATGTCATGTCATTTTGTTCTTCAGATCAGATTCAAAATGACAGACAGACATTTGTTTTAATCTCAAATTTTCAGCATATTTTTGTCTCACAGTTAATTTTGTTTTGTTTTCAGGATCAGTATAAGTTCTGCTATGATGCTGTTTTATTCTACTGTGAAAGACAACTGGCAAAACGTAAGACCTTTATCTTCTTGTAAAACTTACAATACTAGGAATATATCGGTTTTCCCATACTTGCATGCAAAACAAACAAAAATTTGTCCTTGTGAAATTGTGGCACAACCAAGGCTGTGATATAGCAGCTGAGAATAATAGATTACTCCTGGTTCTGTTGGCTCTTAGCGTTTATTGCTTTGTGTCTTGTGTTGCAAACCACTGTTGTTGTTTATTCTTCAGGGGGGATATTTTTAAGAAAGCCAGCCACTCCTGGTATTGATCCCCAGGTGCATGCTAGGAACTCGTTTGATTTCATCATGGGCACCAGTTCATTGCAAGATATACAGTCAAAGATATCGCAGATGACAGTCAAACCAAAACCGGAAATAACCAACGACAATCAAGATATGCAACAGCCTGTAACCTATCAAAATGAAGAGCTGGGTCATGTGACTGAAATAACCAATCAGATGGTTGATATTCAAAGTGATCACATGATGCATACCCACCTATCGCGTACAAATTCACAAGACTCTCATAGCAGCCATGGTAATGCTAGTTTCCCACCTTCACCAGCGCACAACCCATGTTCAGCACAGCAGCTTAACCCAAACCTTGGAAGACATGATTCCTTAGAGTCCCTGTCCAGTAACTCATCTCTATTGTCTGGTACTGCCCAGCAACTTGGTACCATCAACGAAACATTACAGAATCAGAACGGTCAGTCACTGGTTTCTGAGGCACCATCAACTCTATTGGCGACTCTGGATCCAACAACATTCACCCTCAACACCAGTCCAAAACATCAACCCAGAGTCTCTAAAGCTTCTTTTGATGAAAGAAAGGATTCACTTGGTACAGAGAAAGACCCGGCTGATCCATTAAGTTTACTGGACCCGTTGTGGACTATGAAAGATAAAGCAAAATAATTTACATATTAAGTTTCTGGTTTTTAGTTGTGTACATAAAAATATTATTCATTCAAAAATGAAGAACTCATTTAGCTGGATGTTGTTTTTGTCTCTTTGTTTGGAAGTTAGCATAAAACATGTCATTGATATTTTAAATGAGTGTTACCTAGCTGTTGTACATAACTTTCCATTCCTGCAACATGAGCAGGGAGCTTCTTTTCCTGAATTTGCCATGTTTTTTTTTTTAATTTTGCTATGCAACGTGCAAATGTGGAGAATAGGTGAATGTGTATGATGATAACTGTTTTAATTTTTAATCTGTGACATCCAAACTGAATCAGTTCAGCTTAAACTAATTCCCATTTGAATCATCTGAAATTAATGACATTGATTTAGACTGGTTTCAATACAATCTTTAAAAGGCGTTGTTGGCATTGGCCATGCATCTACAAGATATAGGTCTAATATGAACAAAGATGGTGAATTTGTCTGTTGTGCAGACCAGCAGGTACAAACTGTTACATTACTATGCTTTAACTGAGAGATGGGAAGCTACCAAAGGTAATGAGTGCACATTGTGCCTACATGTAGGTCTAAACTAACTTTTTTCATTAGAAGAGGGCATTGGATTGTAAGAAAATCAATGTTTATCAACGCAAATGTCGCACATGCACGACACAACAACCACTGCCCTTCAAGGTGGAGTAGGCTACTACTAACTAACTAAGTTCTTGATAGTTTGTTATGTTAGAATTATGTCAAGTAAAATGAAATTTAAAATACATTAAAAAAAGTGGTACCTCAGCTTTAATTTTCATGCATAGCAATAAAGGGTGGTGGACATCCTGATGCTCATGCACGAAATATGGGTTGCCTATTAACAAAGATGTTGACATTGATTGTTGCACAGATCAAGGTTTACCCATGTTTTTTTAGTAACCATAGTAACTAGATAATTCCTGGAATGCATCAAATGACCCTTAGTGCAAATCATGACAAGATCAAGATCAAGATTCACTTGGAGTGAATTGCATTGTGGGAGTTTCACTGTTTATCAACACAAATCCTGCACATGCATGGTGAGACGACCATTGCTCTTCAATCCATCTCCAGCAGCCATTGTGAAATTGTATTTTTCGTTCACTGCGAAACTTGTGTAATATGCAAAAAATATTGAAAGTTTGTTGCTAAAATTGAATGATTTGATTTCAAACTTGAATACTCAATTTCAAATCAATGTTTGTTATAGTGTTAAAATACTGATTTTTCAGAGGAACATGGCGTTGAAATACTTCGCCATCAAATGTGTATATCACAATATTAAGCATGAATATACCCCAAAAGTACTTTCACATTTGTTTCAAGCCTACTGGAGTGTTGTTTTTACAAATCATGCCACTATAATCTCTGTTTGTGCTGGTCTATGTTCAATTTCATGCATAATGCATAATCTTGCAGTGGATAGAAAATTGATCAAAATACAAACTAATTTACATTGCACAATATGACTTCAGGAAAACCTGTGTCTTAGGTTATCCTCATTTATCCTTGAGATGCTACAGCATGATGTATTATTTAATGTTGTGAGTGATTACATATTATGTGTGATAGCTGTTCTGTGCTTCCATAAAAACTGTCATATGTTGACATGGTTTTAATGAATAAAGATTCCTACATACATTTTTTGATAAAACCTGAAAAGATTCTGAAAACTCAAAAAGCAATCTATGAAAGTTCTCAGCAAGTCATGGTATTTACATGAAAAAATATGAGATATCAATTGATCTGTTGTTGATGCATGTTGATTCTTTCATACGTTGAGGGCTTCCGGCCAAATATAGGAAACGGTGCACATTGACACTATAGTGACATATATTCAAATGGCTATAATGACATTTGTGTGAGCTTCACTGATAAACAACCAAACTTATGACATAATAGGGTATTATAAATCGTCTTGTGTCTGTTAGTACCCATAATCCTTTGTAATATACGGTATGTCACATTATCAAACATTGATAAAGATTAAGTACTGAAGGTACCAGTAATATAGGACCATCTTCCTGATGTTAAATTCTTTGTAATAGTTTGACACTAATACATATGGCATATACATGTAAGAATCCCCTTCTTTGATGTGATGTGATGTGTTATGTGAATTCTAGTTGTAAAATCAACCAATGAATGCTCTATTTTTAATCTGTCATACAAAAGCAAGACATATTGGTTCTTGCTCATATTGTTATTATATTATCAAGTTCAGCAGTTACCAAAAAAAGTGCAAGTCTTTGATGATTATTCCCTATGATTACTGTGGCAGGGGTGAAAGATCAAAACTGTAGGTAAAATCTCAGTTAAACTTAATTAATGAATGCCTTGTGATTGATTATACAGTGAATATTGTGAGTTTTTCTCTTTTTATATTGTTTTATAAATTTAATTATCAATCTGTATATTCCATTGTTGCTTTTTAGATTACTCTTGATTAACACCGTAAAGGGCGGTAGTCATCGCGCCACGCATGCGCGAGATATATGGTCTCCTATAAACAAAGATGGCGACTTTGACTGTTGCGCAGATTAACAAGTACAGACTTAGACTTTACCAAGCTTTAATTAGAAATTTTTTATGTGATTGGAAGGTTTCGAAAGAGTCATCGGCGATAATTAGTGCAAGTCGCGCCCAGGTCAAACCTCATACTTGTGATTTTCATTAGAAGAGCGCATTGGATTGTGGAAAAATCAATGTTCATCAACACCAGTGTCGCAGATGCGCAGTGCGACGACTGCCGTCCTTTTGTATTATCTGTATGGGAATCATGTACAATTACCCATGATAACTACTGTGAAAGGATTAATTATTCACTGGGTTTTAATTTTGCTTATTTCGCTGACTGGAAAATGCGCTAAATTGAAACCCAGTGAATATATCAAATTTAGCATAGAACACATTATCTAAATGATAAAACTGTGAATTTAAAACCCACTGAATATGCCTGAAATAATAAATCAGCGAAATTTAAACCCAGCAAAAATTAGTCATTTTACAGTAACCATGGTGATATCAAGGCCAGGATCCAAACACTATTACTTGGCTTTAATGATGTATGATGTGACTGACAAGCTGTTTAATTGGCATGAGGGCTTGGATACTACAGTTGTATAAAGGTTGTTCAATACAAACAGTATATAATACTTTCCAAATCTACTCAAGGCTAAAATGCCATACATACATTCAATGTCAAGGTCAGTTTGTATACAACCATGTTCTGCAAAATGCTAAACTTTCATTGGTACAGTGGTTCACAATTGTTCGACTGAATGGCATTTGTGACAACTTTCTTGCATTACAAATTTAGGATTTACAGTTTTCTGCATGATGAAACTGAAAGTTTTCCGTTTACTATAAATCACAATCTTTTGACATGCAGTATTGATAAATTATCCATATTGCATTTTCAAACTTGATGATGAGAATTTACACCTTATTAATGCCAATAAAAAAAAGGAAATTCTGTTCATTTGTTATTTATTCCTTTTTCATTGGTGAAAGTGCCAATATAAAACCTTTGGGTGGGACAATACAACTGTTACATATTGTCTACATCATTTCAGTGATCATGACCTAATGTCAAAGTATACCATATGTTAAACAGTAAAATGTTCTGTACTGCCACTGGAGTGATTTGACCTTTTGCGGCAAGGTCACTTTTCACAAAATAAACTAGCCATGTTTTTCAAAAACCAAAACCTGTAGCCAATAAGAAATTATGTCTGTTTGATTCTAAATTGTCGAAAAATATTTCAGAAAATATTTGCAAAATGTTTGGGGGGGGTGTCCCCACATGCACAGGTGACAACCCTTCTTTAATGAGAATACAGTAGACCTTGGATGTCTTTGTTGGAGTATTGAATTACATGTACATAGATATTTAATGAAGGATTTTTAGTAGTATGTCCAAAAGCCAAATTGATAAAATTGAAGGCTTAAGATCTGTAATCTTATCTTTCAGACTCATGCTGACATGACCTTAAACAATAAATTGCAGAGTAATAATTTAATCTCCATATTACCAAACCTGTCATTCTTTGGTAAACAGTGAATACTGGAACATGTGTATAAGGCAGTTTACTATTAAAATTTGTAACGCATTTGAGTATAGTACTGTATATCCTAATTTAGCAGTCCTAAAAATATCTTACCAATATTTAGTCATTAATCATTATTTGTTGTCTAATTTTCATTGATTCCATTGTAAATTCAGTGAATATATTACAATTGCTTTTTTTTATATTATATACATACATACATGCATTAATTATTGTGTATTATTGCTCTTACTGTGTATTTGTGACATTTTAGTTCACTTTGATGGTATAGATCATTTGAATTGTGTGTTTCATTATAGTAGGAAAAGCAAAATTTTTGTGTTAAAATTGGCTCCTTGAAACCAGAAAATATTGTACATATAGGGTGGGACATTCAAAATCCTGGAGAGGTATGAGGACAGTTTGAGATGAAAAATGTAACCATAATGGACTTGCATTATCAATTGTTGAAAAACTGAATGCCACATTATAATAAGTGAGAAAAATCATCTTCCAGCCCCCAACTCCACCACCCCTTCCCAGGAGTGGAAACAATTCACTTGTGAGTTGCTGTTCATATAAACCAGAAAGATTTGCCCATCCCTGGTACTTCCGAAGGGGCTAACAAAATGATAATAATATAAGCAGTTGTATTTTCAAATACATTAGAAATTATTATTATTGTTGGACAATATCCAATAAAGTTCCTGATTTCTCGTTTGTGTAACTGTGAGGCTATATACATGTATATTTTACTCTGAAAACATGCTTATCAGAAAATGGGTGTCTTCTTCAGTTAATGCTTGATTATACTGTGAGTGACTTGTAGTTGAAGAATTATAGAGTTGTATTTATCTGATTGGCTAATGCTGCATTTTTTCAAGTGTATGACAGCTTTACTTAACAGTAGCTACAAATTCTGTAAAATTG